CAGATTTGTATGCACATAAAGCAAATTGATAATTAATTAATTAACAAATATGACAGATTTAATTGAGTCATGTTTTTCAAAATTGTGAAAAGTTGTTTCAAGTTTTACTCAAAAATGATTGATTTCCAAAAAAAACTAATTGTAATCTTGATTGAATAATAAAAAATGATAATTTAATTGAACTATTTTTTCAAACTGTCAAAAAGTAGTTCAAAAAATTTATTATAAATACAAATAAATTTGTATCTTACGGTAAAAAGAAACATTTATTGGTCAATAATATAAATAAATAAGGAATTTCTTAAGATTTGAATCTTAATGTTTTATTTTTTTGCTTTCGTAGATTGAAGATTGAATCTGATGTGTGATAGACGCTGCGAAATTGTTTAATTGCGTTGATTTGTGCATGTAAATGTAATTTGAAATGTGGCCGTGCAATAAATAAGGAGAGGTTGTCCTTGTAACTGAACACGCACGACGGACAAGATTTATGGGATTCGGTCGCACCTACCGACACTATCCAAGATTTGCACTCTTTAGGCTCAACGTTTGCTAAGTACTAAATGATATATATATACATATGAATGCGTCCGTTGTTCTCCCACATTAAAGATCCAAACATTAAATCAATCCGATCGTTTAGTTCATAGCCTCGCTCTCTTTTAACTTTCAATATTTGTAAGAGATGATCGATACGTTTTTTTTTAAGAAAATTGTGTGGGAGTAATCTGAAGAAATTGGTAAATAATGTTAATTTTTATTTGAATCATCGACATTTGTATTGATTATTTTAATTTAAAAATTGTTATAATTGAAATGTCAAATTTTCACAAGTTCATTCAATGAATATGTGACGTTTTGATATGATAAATATAATTAAAAAAATATTATAATGGAAATGTCAAATTTTGACATCCTATGAATTATGTAACGTTTTGATTTGATAATTATAATTAAAAAATGGACATAATTGATATGTCAAATTATGTCATTTTCATCTTATGATATATGTGACGTTTTGATATGATAATTATAATTCAAAAATGGACATTTATTTTGCTAATTCTAATTCAATAATTGATATAGAAATGTCAAATGTTGACAAGTTCATCATAAGAAATATGTGATTTGAGAAATATAATTCAAAATTTGTTACAATTGAAATATCAAACTTTGACATGTTCATCCTATGGGACATGTGTCGTTTCCTTATGGTAATTACAATTAAAAATTATTATAATTGAAATGTAAAATTTTGACAAGTTCATTTAATTAATATGTGACGTTTTGATATGATAAATATAATTAAAAAAAATATAATGGAAATGTCAAATTTTGACATCCTGTGAATTATGTAAAGTTTTGATTTGATAATTATAATTAAAAAATGGACATAATTGATATGTCAAATTATGACATGTCCATCTTAAGATATATGTGACGTTTTGATATGATAATTATAATTAAAAAATGGACATTTATGTTGCTAATAATTCAATAATTGATATAGAAATGTAAAATTTTGACAAGTTCATTTAATTAATATGTGACGTTTTGATATGATAAAAATAATTAAAAAAATATTATAATGGAAATGTCAAATTTTGACATCCTATGAATTATGTAACGTTTTAATTTGATAATTATAATTAAACAAAATGGACACAATTGATAATTATAATTAAAAATTGTTATACTTGAAATGTCCAATTTTGACAAGTTCATTCAATGAATGTGTGACATTTTGATATGATAAATATAATTAAAAAAAAAATATTATAGTGGAAATGTCAAATTTTGACAACCTATGAATTATGTAACGTTTTAATTTGATAATTATAATTAAAAATGGACATAATTGATATGTCAAATTATGTCATGTCCATCTTAAGATTTATGTGACGTTTTGATATGATAATTATAATTCAAAAATGGACATTTATGTTGCTAATTCTAATTCAATAATTGATATAGAATTGTCAAATTTTGACAAGTTTATCTTAAAGAATTGTGACGTTTTGATATGATAATTATAATTCAAAAATGGACATTTGTGTTGCTAATTCTACTTCAATAATTGATATAGAAATATCAAATTTTCACAAATTCATCTTAAGAAATATGTGATATAATAAATATAATTAAAAATTTGTTACAATTTAAATATCAAAATTTGATGAACATGTGACGTTTCCATATGATAATTATAATTAAAAATTGTTATAATTGAAATGTCAAATTTTGACACGTTGAAATAATTGACATTTGAATGTCATAATTCTAATTCCAAAATTGTTACAAATGAAACGTCAAATTGCATTTATTCCTATGTTCATTCTATGAATGCTCTGGTGCTTACGGTGACTACTATTTCGGATTAAGATCAAACGGAGCGAAGCGCAAACATCGTAAAGTGTTTAGCTTGGCAAATCCACGTGACGGAACCGAACGTTTATCCGAACATCAACAAACAAGGACAACAACAAAGAACATACTAACTTCGGAATCTCTAAACAAATATTATTGTTTTCGGAGCATAGAAAAACGATAAGAGAAGAATAATTTCAAAAACATGTTCAACATAAATATTATAGTATTACTACTACACAACGCTACAATTTTGAATTAAAACTAGACGTTTTTAATTAAAGTCAATTAGTTAGATGTTTTCTACAATTAAAGAACTAATATTGTAAGTAACTTGATATTTCTTTAATTTTGTCTTAACATCATTTAATCTTTATTTTTTAATATTTAGATTATTTTTTAACTAATTACAATTTAATTAATTTGTTAAATTGTTTTTTTTTATTCATATTTTAAATTTAGATTATGATACTTTGATGTAAATTTGATTCAAAATTTCTTCAAAAATATGATCTATCAATGCAATTGATTTCTGCCTTGAATTAAAGTTTTGGTCTTAAAGTTTCAGATATTAAATTTTTTATTATGACACTTTCATGTAAATTTGATATTACGTCAACAATTTGATCTTCTATAACTAAATGCTACTTAGAGTATGGACAAATATGTTGTTTTCTTGTGAAATATGAGAAAATGAAAACACCTGAAAAAATAGCACATTTTTTTCAGGTGTTTTCATGAAATACAAATGATATTTCTTATATTCTGTCTTGAATTAACTCATCTTAAAGTTTTAGGTATTAAATTTAGATTAAGATACTTTTATGTAAATTTGATATTACTTCAAAAAAATATGATCTTCCATAACTAAATCCTACTTACAGTATAAAAATGTGCTGTTTTCTTGAAAAAAAAAGAAATATTGTGCTATTTTTCAGTGTGTTTTCATGAATTTCATGAAATACAAAACGCGACTGTTGAATCATTTTGTGAAATCGTGAACAATGTACTTATTTATATACGTTGCTCAGGATGAGGAAAAAAGTCTAAAGCTAACTTAATGATAGACATCTAGAATCTCTGGAAATGACATCGAGGTGTTGGCCAAAACGGCCTTCGCATGATTTATTTCCCGCAAAACACGGAAAATCGCGGATCCCTTGCCAAAAACGCCTCCAACTGACGTGACGCACATAAATCTAAAAATAATGAGAAAATCACACACACACACAAAGTTTTCAGTGTTATAATAACAGACGGAAAACTCTGTAAAAGTTAATGTTCATGATTGATTTCCAAACAATTCTGATCATTCCACGCTTGAACTGTTTTTGTTGTTACTTCTGTTTTTTTTATTCGGGATTATCCGAAGGCCGATGCGTGGGATTAGTAGCATTGATCCGATTTGCATATTTGCTAATAAAAATTCATGAGACCCTGTCAAAATCAGAGAATCTGAAACGGATTAAAACGATGTACGTAATCCTTCCTCCACGTCACGAAACGTGAAGGCTGTCATAAAGAATTATACCAAAAGAGAATTACGTTTGTATTAATTGAAGACGTGGGACCGGAAGCCGTTACACCTCTTCCTCCCTTAATGTTAATAAAGCCAAGACTTCCACTTGCAGCAAATTCTCATTATTTTCGTGTTCCTACCAAAGTTCCTTTCCACCTTAATAGGCTTTGATTCACTTCGTTTCATGTAAACTCCAAAAAGTAATTGCTTTTTTTTAAATGAGACTTTACTTAATTTTATATTAATTTAGCTTTTTGAAATTTATACACCCAAATTGATTTAAATTTACAGTTGAAAAGTCAATTCAATCTCGAGAAGAAGATTAATAAATCAATCGGATAAATACATAAAAGTGAATGGGGAAATAATGTACAGTTTGCCAAAATTTTCATGTGCCAAAAACCATAATTTACCCAACATTAAAACCCGAAACTTTCTTATTTGGTAAATACATATATGTATGTTATTATGTCTGGGCTCAAAAGAAAGAAGTTTTAAAGCTTCGACTGAAATCCGATTATGATTAAAATATTCATGATGAGTGTGCGCTCACACTTCGTGACTTTATCCAGGAGCGGAGGAACTCTTCAATAATCCTTGTGTCTTTGATAGCCAACACGTGAATGCCATAAACCGAAGCTACGAGGTACAGTTTAAACACAATTTCATCAAGACTGCGATGATGTACATACTCGTAAATGGTTAAATTTAACTCTTCCCCCCCATACATTTTACAACCGTATTTATGGAGTTTCACCTAAGCATTCATTAAGTCTAGATGGATTTAGTTAATAATAGTAATTGTATAGATTTATATTGTGCTTTGAAGTGTGGAATGCATTGTTTTGATTCGTAGTGTAAACAAAAACAAAGAGATACAAATAAATAGGGTCTCTGTGCATTTGCACAGTGATTAGTTAAGCTGATAAGATCCATTATAATCCTCTTCTATCATCGGTTCATTGTCACTTTTGTTTGATGTAGAAATGTTTAATTAATTTTGCGAAAATCTACTATACATTTACTAATAAAATCAACAGTGATTAACATTTATTAACGTGACGTTAAAGTATAATTTGTTAAAGCTTATTTATTAACATATGTTTCTTTTCAGGATTGGAGGAACAAATTGAAAGAAGAGTGCAAAGTTTACTTACTTCTTCCAAAGAACGCATGGAATTGAACTGTAAGTTTGACCTATTTATTTATTATATACAGGTATACGTCGTTTTACGCCAAGGATCCGTTCCTACAAAAACGGTCGCAAATCGAATCGGCGTAAAATGAACCCATATTTTCATTGTGGTAAAGTTCTATATAAGTGTAAAATCATCAATTAATAAGCGTTATTTCACAGCGGCGTAAATCGAACCTTTTTTTTTCTACATCGACCGTCTTTAGTAGTTTAATAAATATAAGTACTACCTATAGGTCAAAATGACCCAATTATTATATTGCGCGCTTTTGTCCTGAGCGCTGTTATCGGTTTAAACCACTTGAATACTATAGATCCTTTCTAAACTCTATAGATCCCTAAGTGGTCCACTTGGACTCATATTGACCGTGTTATTCGAGACTCTGTGTAACTCAAGTATCGTGTTTTTTTTGGGAATAGCCTCTATTTATAATTGTCTCTATACATATTGTTTCCCAACCTTTCTTCTACATCGACCGTCTTTAGTAGTTTAATAAGTAAATGAAATATAAGTACTACCTACAGGTCAAAATGACCTAATTATTATACTGCGCTCTTTTGTTACTGCGCGCTTTTGTCCTGAGCGCTGTTATCGGTTTAAACCACTTGAATACTATTGACCCTTTCTAAACTCTATAGATCCTTAAGTGGTGCACTTGGACTCATATTGACCGTGTTATTCGAGACTCCGTGTAACTCAAGTATCGTGTTTTTTCTGGGAATAGCCTCTATAATTGTCTCTATACATATTGTTTCCCAACCTTTTTTTCTTCATCGACCGTCTTTAGTAGTTTAATAAATAAATAAAATATAAGTACTTCCTATAGGTCAAAATGACCCAATTATCATACTGCGCTCTTTGAAACCACTTGAATACTATAGACCCTTTATAAACTCTATAGATCCCTACGTGGTCCACTTGGACTCATATTGACCGTGTTATTCGAGATTCCGTGTAACTCAAGTATCGTGTTGGGAATAGCCTCTATTTATAGTTGTCTCTATACATATTGTTTACTTGTGTTCTTTTTTTAAGTTTTGATGGGTAATAACGAATAAGCAATTGACTTCAAACGAAACTCTAAATTTTCTGGTGTTTATTTTAATTTAATTTGTTTGTTTTTCCAATTAAGTTATAGATGTTGTTACTAAATCCGCTCTATACGTGTTTATGCAATAATTCATAATAATTTAGTTCGCATTAAGTACATTGTTACTAGGATATATCAAAGTTTTCTAAAGCTAACATATAAATCGTACGCGAAAAGCGTTACATAAATTACACGGTTCGAACGTTCCTTCTTTCTGCTCCTCCTTCACGTCTCCGGCGATGCGCTATTTAACGTTCCGTTCGGATAATATTTTTACATGCCATTTTACATATGTGGTCTACAATGTAGACTCTACATACACTGTATACACATCATACACTATATAGCAAACGTGCGCACTAATAACGTATGGCCGGATAAATCACGGTGCAAATAATTTTCAGGAAAACTTTATTACCCAGTCCAGCGTTTATTTTTGTGCTTTCATTTAAAGTCTTTGTTCTGTCCGCTCGTAAATCTGTTAACCGATGTATGGATATAATTGTTATTCATGAGCGATAATTCCACGTCGTCCGGTTTAATGAATTCCATTTCTTTGATTTACAACGTATGGCGAAGTCTATTTATTCGCTGAATTGCATATAAAGTCCAGTTCAGTTATAGATCAGATCAGAAACGACAAAAAAATGACAGTAATCGATAGGAGAAAGAAGTTCAATAATGTTATTGTTATATAACCTAGGTAACAAAAAATAGTTCAAATATATTTTCAATTAGGTTTAATTAGATTTAGCAAGTAGTTCAAATGTATTACCAGTTTTGTTGAATTGATTATTATTATTATGAGAAATTTGACAAAATGTAGTTTGGATAACATTTCTCCATAACATTTTTGTTATGTAACAACGTTAATTAATGTAGTTCAAATATGTTCTCAGTTTTGATAAATTTATTATTTTAATAAATTTTTGTTCTAATACAATTATGTCGATTAAAGGAAGATTCGTAACCTCATTGTTAATGTCATTTCATGTAATTAGAATGTATTATCAGTTAAAATGACGTTTATTATTGGTATCTTAGGAAAAAAATCATTTTACAGTTTTCTTTAATTGATTGGTATTATGATAAATTTTATAAAGTCCAGTTTTGTCAAGTTTCCATAAATTGATTATTATGGGAAATTTTAGTTCTATTATAATTATGCCAATTAAAAAGGATTCATGACATTATTGTTAATGTTATTCGATGTAGTTCAAATTAATTGACAGTTTCCTTTAATTGATTCGTATTGTGGTCAATTCTCTTAAGTCCAGTTCTATCAAAAAACGTCAATTAGTCATTGTTAAACTGCCTAAGAAACAAAGTAATTTGATGTAGTTCAAATTAATTTACAGTTTTCTTTAATTGATTGGTATTATGATAAATTCTATAAAGTTCAGTTCTGTGAAGTTTCCATAAATTGATTATTATGGGAAATTTTAGTTCTAATATAATTATGCCAATTAAAAAAGGATTCATGATATTATTATTAATGTTATTCTATGTAGTTCAAATTAATTGACAGTTTCCTTTAATTGATTGGTATTATTGTAAATTCTATAAAGTCTAGTTCTGTCAAAATAATGTCAATTAAACGTCATTGTTAAACGGCCTAGGAAACAACGTCATTCGAAATTAATTGGCAGTTTTATTTTATTGATTGGAATTAAATAAAGTTCAGTTCTATCAAAAATATGCTAATTAAACGTAATTGAGTGACTTAGGAAACAACGTAATTCGATTTAGTTCAAATTAATTGTCAGTTTCCTTTAATTGATTGGTATTATGGTAAATTCTATAAAGTCTAGTTCTGTCAAAATAATGTCAAATAAACGTCATTGTTAAACGGCCTAGGAAACAACGTCATTCGACATTAATTGATTGGTATTATAGTAAATTATAATTATATTCAGTTCTATCAAAAATATGTTAATTAAACGTAATTGTGATTGACTTAGAAAACAACGTCATTTGGTGTATTTCAAATTAATTTATGAAGTCTAGTTCTGTCAAAATAATAGTTGACATTAAACGTCATTTTTAAATGGAAACAACGTCATTCGATTTAGTTCACGTTAATTTGCAGTTTTATTTAATTGATTGGTATTATGGTAAATTCTAGAAAGTTTAGTTTTGTCAAAAAGACGTAGAAAACAACGTCATTTGATGTAGTTCAAATGAATTGACAATTGTTTTTAGTTGATTGGTATTATGTGAAATTTGATAAAGTCTAGTTCTGTCAAAATGACGTTACTTAAACGTCATTGTCAAGTGACCTAGGATACAACGTAATTCGATGTAGTTCAAATGAATTGACAGTTTCTTTAATTGATTAGTATTATGGTAAATTATATAAAGTCTAGTTCTGATAGTATAACGTCAATAGAATGAACACATTGAATATAATTATTATGTAATTTAAGTAACGTTTGATGTAATTCTGATTAATAACCAGTTTTGTTTAATTATTAGGAATTACGAGAAATTCGATACTGATATTACAGTTCAAATGTATTTCCATGATGTCATGGTATTAAATTGCGTTTGCGGTTTCGGTTCGTTTATTGTATTAGGAAATGTCTCGTATTGAATGTACTGGATCAAAGTGATATCGATACAATTACGGAGCCATCCTTTCAGGACATTACGCCAATTTATCTTCAGTATCGAAAGCACGATGTTGCGTTTTCTCGTGAAAGCATGTGAATTGTGAACTCTTGTTGTTGTTACCTACATACGAGCAGAGTTAGGGAAAGGACTACGATTCCCGTCCGCATTAAATCTCAAGGTCCTTTGAAAGTTTCTTCTGTACCTCCGCTCTTGGTATGCATAAATTACGTAAGCTACCGGTTATATTATTAAGGTATATCATAATTATGATCGTTAAGTTGGGGGGTAATTAGGGAGGGACACAAAGCCCGGATGCGAACAGGATTATCGCACGCTTATCATGTTCAACATGGAAAATCATAACAACAATGCGCCGGGCCGAAACAATTATGCGGAAGAGGAGGAGGAGGAGCAGGAGGCACTTGGCTCGGCTGGAAAACAAGTTCAAGTGCGGAATATTCATGATGATAAGGTCGGACGTCATTAACATATAGAGTACTTTGTTTTCAGCATCGGATCTTCTCTCATCTCTTCACACACTCTGTGAAAAGAGGGATCATGAATTACCATTTATGGAACGAATGCAGTTACATCATTTGCACAAATTCATAACTTGATCAGAACTAAAGCTAACTCAATCTCAATGTATATAGTTTCAAATAGAATAATTACATTCAAGACACACATTTATTACATATAAACATACATTAGTTACAGATAGACGATAAATAAGGAAATAATTGAAAAGCTTCTAGAACGAACCAATAGATGGCGTGGCAAATAAACAATATTGATTTATCACATAAGAGTCAAAATCAATTAGTATTTTGTATTTCTCAACTGAAATTACTTGAAAATTAACGAACGCATTGAGATTTAGCGATTTTTACAATTATTTTACAAATTTTTAAGTTTTTTTTTTAATATCAGTAAATTTTTTTTTATTATTCGGAAATGATTATACTGCTTATATATTTTATGATTACTTAATAAAGGATCTTCCACTAGTCATCTTTTGATATAAGAATAGTTATGTAACATTCATTAATGACTAAGTTCAGGCAATTTTTAACCTTTTTCAAGCCTTTACGTTTTTGTAAATTTTTCAATAACCACTCATGCTAATTACATCATCAAATATTCTATTTAAAGACAAAACTGTGGCTTTTCCAATGAGACTACTACAAGATTTGTGACATTTCCCTTTTTTCTGTAATAAGCTGTCAAATTTGAGCTTTGGAATAAAATACTTCAGGATTTTAATACTTTATCCAACTAATTAAAGTT